GAATGAAGAGGGCTTTTTAAATTTCATATGCCTAGGTTTTCCTTCTGTATAATATCTTTTATAATATTAAAAATGCCAATCTTAAATGTATTTTAATCTAAAATATGAGTCATGATTGAAAAATATACAGTCAGACAGGAAGATAATAAAACATCTCATAAACACTGACTAATGAAGAATCTTTTAAGACGTTTAATTTCCCCAATGAATATGAATGTATTTTTTCTAAAATTCTGAAAGTTCATCTATTATTTTCAAATACTGCAAAGCATTAACACATATTGAACACACATTAGAACCAAAAAAAAAAATTCAATGAACTCCATATAGTAAAAATCTCACTATGATAGGTGAGAGAAAAAGAGAAGAAAGTATATCACCAGATCAGGGGAAACACCAGCACTAAGTCATGTAACTGGGAAATTCTAGGACAGCTTATGAGGGTCCCAACTGGGAAGTCTCTAGCAGAGTGTCCTTACTAGGAGTTAAACTCTAAAGTCTTATTCCCAGTGAGACTCTTTAAATACCAGTTAGAACAAAGAAAGCTCTGTTCTAACAAACTGTGTGACTTAGTGATCCTGTCATGGACACTTTGTCCCCTCCCCAAAGGGAGGGAGTGATAACCTTGAGATAAATAAATATCTCGGAATTCTTCAGTGTGAGCTAAATCCTTCAAAGAGTATGCATTCTATAGATGTCCTATCAAGGATGTGAGAAAGTCACAGCAGGCCATGACAGGAAGATCTTTAATATTTTCCTTAGCCCTCTAATGGCTCACAGCAGAAGAGAAGGGGCCTACCTTTCTGGCATAGAAATAATTATAGAATTCAGTTGGTGGGTAGAACTTTGGTGACTATGAGGGTGCCCTAAAACCTCATACATAGTGAGAATTCAACAAATGTATATAGAATATATGGGTTTTAATTTACTTAATTTATTATATGAATACATCAAACTCTTGAAGGCGACATACCAAGGTACACAACAGAAACAGAATCATAATCACATCCAAGATAGGAGCATTCCAATCCAGAATTCTGTATGTGTTGCTCCCCACGGACTCAGGCCATCTTACCTGATTGTAGACTGATTCAGCAGAGGTACTCAGCACCTGAGCTATTTTTTTTCACAAATTTACAGTTTGCAAATCCAATGCAAAAGGATCCAAACTCAAGGAGGAGCATCCTTTTTAGTGTCTGGGAAAAAACTGGTGCCTACGAACATAAAGCTGAATTGAGTATTCTAGGTAAATCTTATTGTTCCAGTTTGACTCCCAGCAGCTTGATTCTTAGCACCTGGAAAGGAACAGTGCCTGAGCTGAAGCTCCAGGATCTTACCATAGGAAGGGAACCATAAGTAAAGATCAAATTCTCCAGAGAACGATACATATATGCCCTGTCTTACAATGCCCTACATTTTTTGAAATGTGTACATGTGAACATATAAAATAGAAACTGTATATTTTATTTTAGGAAATGATATTTATAACAATATATTAAAATTGATTGTTACTATGTACCCACAGTTGGTGTTATTTTCTATCTTAATCCAAGGAGAGGTAGGGCAAGCATTACAGTGTGACTGCAGGTGCCCTGAGGCCAATGAGCACCCTCTATATCTATCCACAGTAAAATGTGCTTTGCCACCTATGAAGTTAAGCTTTTAGAACTACACTTTATGTAATTTATTTGCTGCCTGACAACCTGTCCTGACCCAGAAGAGATTGCAAGTGATAATCCTGGATCTGACACAGAATTTTTAAAAATCATATTTTTTGAAAATTAGTAAATACTTAGAAACGATAGATAATACACCATATGAAAACATATGGATATAGCCTTGCAGTCACTTAAGTGTGAAATTGGTAAATTTAAATTGTATGTGGAAATCAATATGCTAATAAGCTAAGCATGAAACATAAGAAGTTAGAAGGCAATGTAATTAACACAAAGAAAGTAAAAAGGGGGAAGAAAATAATTTATAGTAAAAGTAGGTATTAAATGTAATAGGAAACAGAGGAAAAATAGAGAGGGAAACAAAGCCAAATGTTCATTCAAATGTCTGGAAAGTTTGATTATTAAAATAAAATGCAAAAATAAATAATATTAAGGGTGATAGAGGAATTTTACTACAGATTCAGCAGAGATGAAAAGCACGTCAGAAAACTTCATGAACAATAGAACATATTACCAAGCATTGTTAATGGTATACCTGTCATTCAATTAGCAGTTCCATTATGACACAAACTTACGGTACAAACTCCAGAAAAGCATGCACATATACTCTGTTAAACCATGTTCAGAATTCAGCCTGCCAGAATGAGTACTGAGAGCTAGATGGCTCTGTGCTAAGCATGGTCTCTACCTACTGACAGCTACTTTGAATTGGAGTTGATGTGTCAGCCAAAAGGCAATTAGCCATAGCTCTGAGTTAATAGTGTCCTGGGCTTGTCATGGATGAAAGGTAACTCGGTTTCCCCAGAGCTTAAAAACACCAGAAGGACAGAGGGCTGCTGTGTACTGTGAGAGAACTCCCAGTGAGAGACTGCTTTGTGACGCCTCTTCTGCGACAGGCTAGCAAGATAGAAGATGTAGAAGAAGGCAGCTGCCATCATGCTGGTGGCGTCTGGCTGAGGACCCATTTCAGCACCCTTCCTGCTCGAGCATTTTTATTCTGGGGATGTAGTTACAAATGCACTTGAATATATAACAGCAGAAAAGCTAAAAGCTACCTGCAGAAAGGTGTCCTTTACTCCTTGTAACTTTACTAAATAGGAAATTACTATTCAGCTGTGTATTTGTGAAGCAAAAAAGGTATAATGTGTAATTATTATGGAGGCTATTCTAAGAGTAAACTTTTGAATTCTTACCTCCTTGGCTCAGGGATAGAATTCAATTCCTTTTTCATGACTTTACAATTTATCTCTCAGTCATCAATCAACTCATTTCATATTGTGAGGCAGCATTCACAATAACTCTTATGTTGCAGAAAATTCTATGAAAAGTGGATATTCTCCTCTTGCATATAGGATGTAAAAATTCAAATGTTCTGAAAATTTATTCTAGAAGCAATATCATTTCTTCTAACAGTCTACATTTTTCTCTATAATATGGGTTTAATCTCCTTCATTATAAAGGCCTTGATATTAGCCAACTCCTTCCTCAACCCTTTGTAGATGATTATGGCCATCAATGATTTAGAGACTTTGTTTTATTTCTTTAGAGTTTATGATTGGTAGGTAAATATTTATTTGCTTTCTACTCTCAGAATTACACAGTGATAAATATAAGTTGCAATTTTTCTGTTTTGTCTTTTTAGTCAAAATATTGCTGTCATTAACACATTTTTCTTTGTATTTCCTATTCAATAAACAGTTTTATTATTTTGGGTAGAGATAGCAAATTAGATTCTTCAGTTTGACATTGAATAACCATACAGAATATAAAGTTCTGACAAATAAGGCCATAAAGTTTAAAAATTATCTTTAAGATAAGAACTTTTTTTTTCAGTAGCTTAAGGGAAATGATTTTCATAGTTCTAAATCTTAAAGCATCACCGGCAAATACATGAAAGTTGGCATATTGTATGTGTAGATTTTTATAACTTTGTTTGTTAGTCTGGATCTCCCTGACTACTCCTGAATAGCTGTAGTTTTTAGGCAAACCATAAATGAAATCCCAATGGGAATATTATAGACTGAATTTAAACATCAAATAAGTGATTTGGTGAAAGGCTTTGAAAGTCACTTTCACCCCTGAAAGTTTTGAGTGAGATTTATGAAAAGAATAGAAAAAATAACTTAAAGACCTGTTGACCTGGTTTGATCAAAATTCTTGGTACCTGATATGAAAGATTTTTTTTTTCAATTTTGGAATGTTTGCCTATACATAAGATACTTTGGGATGGGACCTAAGTCTAAACACAAAAATCATTTAAGTTTCATATACCTTATACACATAGCTTGAAGTTAATTTGGTATACTTATTTTTAGTGCACTTGCTTTTTGTTTGTTTGTTTGTTTGGTACCGAGGGTTGAACTTAAGAGCACTCACCACTGAGCCACATCCACAGCCCTTTTTTTTTTTTGTATTTTATATAGAGACAGGGTCTCACTGAGTTGTTTAGTACCTCTCTTTTACTGAGGTTGGCTTTGAACCTGCAATCCTCCTGCCTCAGCCTCCTAAACTGTTGGGATTACAGGTATGCACCATTCTGCCCAGCAGTGCACTTGCATTTTGACTGTGACACATCAAATAAGGTCAGATGTGGAATTTTCCATCTGTGGCAGCACATCAACACTCAATAATTATTTCTGGAGCACTTCAGATTTTGGATTTTCAGATTAGAGGTGCTCACTCTGTTCAACGTCTTTCAGATATCTTACTAAAATATCATTATAAAGTTATTGTCTGATAACTTAGCATGTCACTTTTAAGTTATTGTGTAATGACTTTATAATGCAAAAACAGTATCAAGTTTAATTTGTCCCACAACCAGCATCTTGTGGACAACCCTTACAAGGACAGGTTAAGTGAACTATTCTGTTCTAAAATAATGGGCCAGAAAGTCACATAAAGGACACTGTCTGACTAGATCATTCAGAACACCCTGGCAAATCCTGTGGCCCTTAGTGAGGTGAAGTAGCTTAGTTAACACAGGTTAAGAAACGCCAAGCCTGTGGCCCTGACTCTGATCCCACAGGTATGCTAAGCCTTTCATACCTTCCATGTCTTCAGTGTTCCTTCATGGGAAGATTATTTTAAATTCTATCTCATAACTACTATGTAACTTGCACATGTTTAAAAGTATAGTAATATAGATAGAGAAGGAGTCAATTCTCCCTCAAGGAAAAAAAAAATAATCTTTTTATTTATTAAAGTTGGCTTAGTTTCAGTTTCAACTACTGGTGAATCACTGAGTTACAGATCAAAGCAATAGATTTCTGGATAAAAGATTTCAAACTTTAAAAACAATTAATTTATTTTTCCTTTCACCCACAGGTCTACCCACGGATAGCGCCGGCATTTTGGCACTACCTGCGGGTAGAAGTGAGTAGCGGGTACTTGAATTCTCCCCTCTCTGCTCCTGGCACTCTGCTGGCATGTTCTGATCTGATGTGCCCACTGTATTCAAGATGCAGCTGCCATTCTGTGTAAATGTACTCTCACACCACCACCATTACTTAGAGTTGGATAAGAAATCTAGATCACCAACAACCCAAGTGTAGTTTCTAGAAGAGTAACTATCTTCCTTAATAAATTTCCCAATCAAGGCCATATCACATATATCATAACGGTGAACTATTAAATGCTAAATTATGGGAAACCATGCTTTTACTTCTTTTTAATCAATGTTTCTGATATTCAGAGCATAGTTCCTCAGTTTAACTTAGGAATGTCTCTGGGAAAAGGTGGGGTCCTGTTGCTTTATTTCCTTTCTTTTTCTCTGTCCCCAGGAGCATGAGCAGCTCACCTATTCCTCCACGAGGTCCAAGGCCCCCAGTGTCATCATCACAGGTCTCAAGCCAGCCACCAAGTACATATTTCATATCCGAGTGAGGACTGCAACAGGATACAGTGGCTACAGTCAGAAGTTCGAATTTGAAACAGGAGATGAAAGTAAGTTATACACAATGAAATAAAATAAGATGTTCATTTAGGACCATTCTAATTTGACCTGATGTTTTCAAACCAGGTGTCCCAAATTTTTAATAGCCTCTCCAAATAGGATTCTGTTCATGTAAATATTCATAAACAGTCATTCAAGTTAATGTTTCTGTGACATCATTAAATATTTCCATGAGATGTTTGCTCTATCACAATCATAATGTGGCCCAAATCAGTCCCTTTATGCAGGATTCATCACTGACACTATCACACAGAGTCTCAATGGATGGTGTTAGCCTAATTGTTAACCACTCTTGGCACAGTGATATGATACTAATGAAAACTTGGAAGAGAATGAAACCATGGGCAAATTATTTGAGCTGTTAGTTCAAAATTGTGCAGCTTTGGCTTGTTATCTCAGGTCAATAAAAACAGAATGAGGAGCTACATTCCACCCAAGTTCATATTATAAGTTTATATATAGATGCATGATCTTAATTAGAAATTCATGTTAATTGCATTGCCTCAATGTACTGAAAACCAAAATGGGAAATGAAGGGAGTGAGGTCCAACATCATGCAACACAGGTTTTGAAATTTCTATTTCATTCTAAACCCAGCTCTATTATGGAATTCCTTTTAACTTTCAGAAATCCATCTTGCTACTATCTTTGTCAGGATAATACTTAACACTTTCACGTAGTGTAATTCTATGGGAAAAAAAGGTCCAAATATCTAATAATAATAATAAAAATCTGTTTCTATCAATGTTAAACTATAAAAAATCAGGAAAAGAAAATTTATTATGATATTTCTTTGTGGATAACAACAATAATAGCTACCATTTACTGAGCCCCTAATAAATACCTGAAATGAAGTATTTTACATGAATTATCTCATTCAAACATTTTCACATCCAATGAGACAAGCATTATTTTCCTCATTTAAAAAATAAGAAAACAGAAGCATAGAAGAGTAGAGAATTTGTTCAAGTTTATGCATATGGTAAGAAGTTAAAGTAAAATTTGAAATTGAGGGTTATCTTCTTCTAAAACCTGCTCTTTTCAACTAGTCCATCATCCAGCAAAGTCCTATCATTTGTGTTATTCTAAAGTGCTACAGGTAAGACCATGAAATAGGTCACAATTTCTCCAGCTGGAAGGGAAGCTACTTTAAATTCTATGAATGTTTTGTTATTGTTGTTACATTGATGAAGAATATCGACCCATAAATACTTTGTTATGATTATATCAAACTACAAAGTGGAAGGGCACTGGCCTATTCACTAAGGAATATAGTTGTAGGAATGAAAGTAAACTAATGAGTCAAAATGAATACTTGTTATGTGGATATTTAATATTAATGATAATAATTTATAATCCTGAATCATAACTTCTCAAACTGGAGATTGAATTATTGGGAAAAAGAACATAATGATTACAAAACCACAAGACAATCAATATAAAAATATTCAAAGAAATATCCCTACCGTAGTCCTGCTGACTGATGTTTCATAACCAAATGTTAAGCATTAGCAAGGACAATCAATACAAGGAGAATTTGGTTTAAGGAAGAGTTAGGTCAGGCTATTTGAGGGGTTTTATTGTATTTATCTTTAAAGGTATTATTTACTACAAATTTATTTCACAGCCAAGTACAATTAGCAAGCTTTGTTTTCTTATTTTATTTTATAGATGAAGAAATTTACTCAGCATAAAAGTCTGACATTTTTAGTGTTTCATTATTAAATGAGAAATATACTCTTAGAAAAACTCATTGTACAAAATCCAAGTAAGTCATTTGGGTTCCTTTGGGGCCTTGTAGAGAAAGAAATCTACTTTGATAAATAGTAAATTCTAAGTATTTAAAAAAAAATTATTTTATTTCAGCTTTAAATTTCCTAACAGTCATAATTTCAGGACAAAAATTCCTTCAGTTATATAGAGAAAAAAAATCCTTTCTTAGTTGAAAGGTCCCATACTCACCAATGACTCAGTACAATAATAACGCATTCAACAAAATGTACATGGCACTTAATGTACTCTGTCATATTCTGTGAGGCCCTGAGGATAAAAAGTAATAAGAGCTATAGTTTTTGTTCCCCTAATTTACAATCTAGATTTGTGGGAAGCAAAATACTAGATTAGTGGCATATAACCATCTTAAAGATATGCAAAGGATTCCATGAGAGCCTGGAGAAGGGATCCCAATTCAGCACAAGTGAGTCATGTAAGGCTTCTCAGGGTGAAAAGCCAGAGCTCACTCTAGAAAGAGCAATCATCAAGGAGGAGCAAAAGCACTGGAGTCCAAGACAGCAAGAACAATTTGAAGAACAAATAATGTGTTGTGGCTGCAACAAGGAGATGTGAGTGATCAAATGGTAGAAAGTGAAGGTGGAGAGTTACAGAGAGACCGAGATGAAGGTACTTCTTTGGCTATGGTAAGGTGTTGGTGCACATCCTAAAGCTACTGAAGATGCATTGGAGGATCTGAGTTAGGGGTCGCATGAATACTACTCGCACATGAAAGATTCCAGGATGAGCAATTTATACACATTATCTCCTTATTTCCAACAATATATTATCTCTATAAAACTTATGTACCAAAATCAGTTAACTAGTGAGTGGGGAACAAGATGGGAACCTAGAACCATCTGAGAATGGCAGCAGAAGGTCAAAACTATTCTCTGAGTTATTGATTTGTTAATGCCACAAAAGGGACTTTGATTACACTCTTGAAGAGAAAAAAATGTCTAAGAATCTGAAAAGTGTGTTTGTCTAAAACTAGAGTTTGGGTATATAGAATAGCTCCTAAGTTAATTTACAGCCTAAGGGAAAATCACTTAAAGGATCATTTTTTATCTGGTTAGCTTTAAATTGCATTTTTAAAGCATGCTGTTTATGCCCAGAAGAGAATTTCAATGAATAATGTCATGGTAGGAATATGGGCAGGTTTACCATAAATTCAGGAATATGATGATGTGAATCCCAATTGATGGCATCAGTCTTTTTCTCTTCATACTCTCCTAGCTCATGTTTAAATTTTTATAGTTTTTGTTTCTCGAGTAGTGCCTGAACTATTATAATGTCAACTTTATTATTTAGTTTTCTCTAGTGTATTCCATTTAATTAACTAAATTCATAATACACACATAGAGATCGGGTGTGGGTTGGGGAGAAGAGATTAGATTCTCTCTTATTTGATGGTATGTTTCAAATTTTTTTAAATAAGCAAGATGCAGTAGTAGTTTACAATCAACTTTTCTTTAGCTTCCCATATTTTTTACTTTGTTCAGCTTCTAGATTGCTAACAACCAAAAAGATATAGCATAGAATATGAAATAATTTCTTTTCAGAATCACAGTGCTCTTACCTATTTGTGCTATATATCATAGTGGCATCAGGAAAACAAATATGGTGACTCCTCTTGCCCTTCCAGAGCAGCATTGGTTATTTTTTCATTGTCAGAATATGCTAGTAGAAAGTGGATAACAAATGTAAAGGTTATTAATTATGACTGCTAGACTATAAAATCACTCTATTTGAACTAGAGCTATAGATTTTTCACCTTCCTAGGTCTGTAGAATAATTGTATTATATATGTAAATATGTAAAGAGTGCTGAAGTAATATAGGAAGTAATAGTCATAGGGTCACCCAATATTTTCCCTCTGTGTTTTAATGTGCTCTAATATCTTACTAGACTTAAGAGTATAATGAAATATTATGTCCACTAACAGAATTTATTGAGTGCCAGTTGTTTGCTGGCCTTAGTATTAAGTACTGCATTATGTGTTATATTTGATCCTCTTCTGCTTTTTCAGAGAAGATGTAACAATATTATAATAATTACAGAATAAGTATTAATAAGGTGATAATATATAAATACTCCATATGAAGTTAAGTAAGAAGCTAATAATAATTTTATTAAAATTAAAATAAATTTACATCATGCCCAAAGTATCAACCATAAACACATATCCACATACTTACTGGGCAAGTACAGTCTTTTCTGGCTTATGTGAATGAAACAAAAGAAAATTTTGATTTTTTTCAAATTTGTTTTTAATTCTGTGCTTATTTTCTATACTTCAATGAGGAAAAATATGAGAATTAAAATAGTCTATTAATTATATACACATGCTATTAATGACTTAAAAACCTATTTAATATATTTTTAAATAACCTCTTAAAATTACAACTACATTTCAAAACAGAACAAAAATAATTTAAAGATAATGAAATCAAACACTTGTTTACTTAGAAGAAACATTTATCTAATATTTAAATGCACTTGGAGAAATAAAATAATTTTACATATTCATTTTTTAAAACCAAAATAAAATATTTTATGCTAGATTGTAGCCAGCCAGCTTGAGCCTTCTGTTTAAATACTGTAAAATAGCTTCTAAGCTATCAAAATCAAGCCAAATTCTTATTGTGAAGCCAATTTTTGAAAAAAACCTGGAATTTTACACATAATAATTAGCAATTTACCTCTTCCATTGCCCTAATGATTATCCAAATGACCCCAAGGAACTAATGCATTGCCAACCTATAAGCAATGTGTTCCTTTTTCCTGAAAGGATTAATTATAGCTTAAATTTTAACAACATGCAAATTTAGGTCTTCACCTGTAGGCTACATAAAGCAGTTTTGTAACACAAAAGCCACATCTGTCAACATTTTTATATGTATTATTTATCATGAATCAAATAATTGCCTAGGCTTATATCACAAAACGTAATCACACAAAAGTCATCATGATCAGCGTTAACAATAGAAATTACTGAACCAGAGTACATATTTCAAAATAAAATCTTATGTCATCTCTTATAAGTTTATAACAACAACAACAAAATGTGGCATGTAGCTACAAATGAATGAATTTAATCACTTAACTATTTTGAAAACACTCATAAGTTTTATCTATTCTAGTATGGTTTGATATTTAAGTAATTTGAGTCATTTTAACAATTTATAGCTGGGAAATGATCCTGAAAATTAAGGTGCAT